GTACCCCCACCCCTCTGGCGTGCAGTGTACCACTCACGGAGCTGCTGAGGGGAGGGGATGTCACGAGTGCGCTGCTGCTGCTGCTGCTGCTGCTGCTGCTGCTGCTGCTGCTGGCGCTGACCACCACCGGAGCCGACCCTCTGCGCAGCGCCACCCCGACCAGCTCCACCTTCTCCGCCGCCTCCTCCTCCACCGCCGCCACCTCCGCTCCCACCGCCACCGCCGCCGCCGCCTCCGCCTCCACTGCCGCCACCGACCCCTCCACCCCCGCCACCACCCCCACCGCCACCCCCACCCCCTCCACCGCCTCCACCGCCGCCTCCACCGCCCCCGCTAGCTCCTCCAGCGCCCCTGCCCCCCTTGCCCTTGCCAGGGCGGCGTCTCCCGCTAGGGGTAGACGCTGCACCAACCGACTCCAGACCAGCGAGGTCGGCCGCAGCAGCAGAGGCAACAGAGGGCAAAAGAGGGGAGGGGGAACACCCCTCAAAGATGGGGGTGCGAGGGTCACCACGAGAGGCTCCTACAGCTACTATGCTCTTTTCTGCTGCTAGGAGGGCCTTCTCGAGGAGGTCAACGGTGAGAGTGGTGGGGCAAACCGAGAGGAAGTGGTCCCTGACTACGCGAAGGGAGTCAGGGAGACGGGTGACTATGTAGTAGAGGGTGATGTACATGGGGGGGGGGGTTCTTGGCGCAGAACTCAGCAGGAAGCGCAGCGCGGTAGCGAGTGTCACTAGTGCGGAGGTGCGTAATGAGGTCAGCGACTGTGGGAAAGGCAGCAAGGTCAGGGAAGAGGTACGGTAGCATGAGGCGGCTCAGTGCAGCAGTGGCAGGGGAGGAGTAGCGTGCAACTACAGCGTCGTACAAGGTCTGAGCACTCTTGTACTGGCTAAAGTGCGCACGCTCAGAGGTAGGCAGGTGGCGACGCACAGCAAGACGTGCAGCAGCATCGCGCGTGGCCCACTGGGAGCGAACAGTGGCGTCAGCATCAGCAGCGGGGGCAGGAGAGGCACCAGAAGTGAGGTCAAAGAGGGAGAGGCCGTCTGCCCTATCGCACTGTAAGAAAAGCTGCAGGTCATCTATCCAGACTTCAAAGTCAATGGCCCGACCCTCAGCGTCAAAAGCGAGGACACTAGGGGTAGCCATGACAGCAGTAGACTAGCAGCGCAGACAGTAGGGTGAGGGCAGTGCTGTGAGAGAGGCGCTGCTCTTACCGGACAGGGCGGCTCGGGGGGGGCTCGGCTGCAGGGCGGCGCGGCGACTCGGCGGCTGGGCGGCTCGGCTGCAGGGCGGCTCGGCGACTCGGCTGCTCGGCGGCTCGGCGGCTCGGCGGCTCGGCTGCTGGGCTGCTCGGCGACTGGGCGGCTCGGCTGCTGGGCGGCTCGGCTGCTGGGCGGCTCGACGACTCGGGTGGCTCGGCGGCAGGGCGGCTCGGCGGCTCGGCGGCTCGGGTGGCTCTGCTGCTGGGCGGCTCGGCGGCTGGGCGGCTCGGCTGCTCGGTTGCGGGGCGGCTCGGCGGCCCGGCGGCTCGGTCGCTGGGCGGCTTGGCGGCTGCGGCTCCTGATCAGGGACGGCGGAGGGGCTGGTGGGAGGCGGCGTCGGAGCCGGGAAGGGCGGCGCCGGGGCCGTAGGAGCAGGCGCCGGGGTCGTAGGAGCAGAGGCCGGGGTCGTAGGAGCAGGCGCCGGGGCCGTAGGAGCAGGCGCCGGGGCCGGAGGAGCTGGCGCCGGGGCCAGCCGAGGTGGCGTCGGGGCCGGGAAGGGCGGCGTCGATGCCGCTAGGGCGGCTCACGGTGGGCCGACGGGCGGCTCGAAGGGCCGCAAGGGCGGCAAGCGGGGCCGACGGGCGGCGCAAGAGGTCGGTGGGGCCGCTGTAAGAAGCGGCGACGGGCCGCGAGGGGGGAGGCGGCGACGGGCCGCAAGGGGAGAGGCGGCGACGGGCCGCAAGGGGGGGCGGCGACGGGCCGTAAGGGGGAGGCGGCGACGCCGCTGAAGGAGGCGGCGACGAGCCGCAAAAAAGGGGCGGCGCGAAAGGGCCGCGAGGGCGGCGCGACGCGACGGGGCCGCGAGGGCGGCGGAACGGGGCCGCGTAGGCGGTGCGACGAGGCCGCGAGGGCGGCGCGACGTGATGGGGGCGCGAGGGCGGCGCGACGGGGTCGTAAGGGGGGGTGCGCGACTCGGGCAGAGGCTGAGCGCGCTCCGGGCAGGAAAAAAAAATCGGTGGGCCCTAGGAACAGTTCCCACAGGGGAACCTGCTCTATACCATGTGAAATTGAACGAGAATGAATTGACTAAGGGAAAGTGGGTACAAATGCAAACCCTGAAAACTGTACCCCATATGTGCTACCCCACTATAGCCTACAGTAGCAATGTCATATAAATCTGACAGGCGGGGGTGTCGGGCGAGCTCAGCAAGAGCCTCTGTCGTGGCCGTGCGTGCTTACGAGAGAGCACTACGAACGGCGGTGCTGTGTCGCTGAGAGACGTCTACCCCCCCAAAAAATTGAGATAGTGAGGAAGCGAAGGTGTGGGTGCGGTCCGAGAAGAGATCGTAGGCTCTGAATACCAAGTGTTACGAGTGCAATTGAGTGAGCGAGCGACAGTTGCACTATCGAAGCAAGAGTACAATGAGCGAAGGCATGAGCGAAGAATATATAGCGAAACTACAGTGGTAACGGTAATGAACTGTGGTTGTCGCGCGACGGGCCTGGGACTGAGGTTTGGGAAATTGTCAAAGCGGAGGCCCGGAGCGCGGGTTACCCGCCGAGCCGTGAGGTCGGTGTGCGACGTGCGAAGGTGGCGGGAGGATTTGTCAATGCGATGGTTGCGAGTGGTAACGGTGCTGACTATGGTGCTACATTGGTGTACGCGCTGAGCGGGGACGCGAAGTAAGGAAAAGGAATTTTCCTTACATCACCCTTACCTATTTTCACCACTTCTATCTTCCTTGTTTCCTTACTCTCGTTCTCATCAAATCCATGACTTTGTATTGTAGCGAGATAATCCATCCGCTGGTCCAGCACGATTGTTACAGATATGGACACAGGCACTGCTGCCCCCCAACTCGCAAGAGTTCCTAGCGACTTCGTGCAACCATCGGTTTTATCGCCAGCCCATCGCGCAGGTCTCGATGAGGAAGTTCGGTGCGAAAAGATCAACGAGGGGCCGAACAGTGCAAGTGTGAAGAAATGAGGAATGAATGAACTAGCAAGCAGGTGGGTACAAGTAGGAAAACCTAAAACTGTTGTACCCCATATTGTCTACCCCACTACAGCCTACACAGACTATAGCATATGAGTTTGACAGCCTGAGGGGTGATCGACCAGGGGCCAAGAGGCCTGGAAATTCCCAAACCGTTGCGCATAGAGGTATTAACATAGGGTCTTCCTTTTTTGCACGTAATTATGTTATTAGTGGCATGTACCGGCTCGCATTTTCGCTCGCGTGTCGTTTAGCGAGCCGACTCTACTGGAACTCTTAGGGCAGCAAAAAAAACCTGGATGCATTTTCGAGATGGGTCAACCCTAAAACGGATAACTTCCTGGTATTTAGGGTTGATGCCTCCCGAGTCGTATCTGTTTCTGAATGGGTAATATTTTATTTTCCAGTGCGTCTACGATCGGGTAGGTGGTATTTATCACCCAGAATATAATATGTTATACGTACTCACGATTTGATCCGCCGAACTTTACTTCCAGAAGAAGGCGACGCGCGCGCTGTGGTAGACGGAGGTCAAAACCCTCAATAAAAAACATGAATACACAATTTGGTTCTTTTAGCAAATATCGTTTACTTCCGGTTCGGCTTGTTCGCCAAGTCAGTTGGGCAGCTCTGGGCTGAAATCCTACGGTCGAGATTTACCGGCCCTACTTTGAACACCTCTCTGGCAATGTTCGGCCCCTGGTTGATCTTTTTCCAAGTTCGGTGAGCCATCAGCCACAAGCTCCGCCACCGCGCTTCACCCGAACAGATCGTGTGGTCCCAACGCGCCCACACTGTAGCACGACTGGTCACTCACTCAGTTCCTTCGCTCACACCCCGCTCCCTTCTCGACATTCGTTCAAGAAGATTGGGAGGACACTTGTACAGAGATGTTTAGGAAACCATTGGTTGCGAAAAGTACACTTCCGCTATCACGATTTTGTTGTAACCACCCGTCTTTGTCTTGCGGGAATGGGGCATCCTAGAGAATCCATTCACACGCGCGCCATTGAAACCAGATCGTACTTGAAGAGTTGGGCCCAGAAAGGAGAAGTGAGGAGAGGAGAGGAGAGGAGAGGGGAGGAGTGACTGGTGAGCGAGATCGGGACTGGTTGCTGGGAGCGTCTGGCGAGTCGAACCAGCGCCATTGCCGCGGCGTGATTGTTTACGTGCTGCGGCACTGCGTCCCGCTTGGTCCTCGCGCTCCCAGCATCAACTTTCTTCAAGCGAGTCCAGAGATTAGGACTCCGAGTCCCAAACGTTGGAGCGGCTCTTTCGGAGAGATAAGGAGATAAGGAGACAAAGAGAGAGGCCAGGCTGTGGTTGCACGGGATCCAGGCTGAGGTGACAGACCCCCAATCTCGCGACAAACGTCTCAAGTGACTCGACTCGACCGCAATCTCTCCTCTCTTGTCACCCAGCCTCCCACCACCTAAGCGCGCTCGTTCCCTTCCACACACCGGTCTCCGTCCCTTGCCGCACTGTTCTTTTTTTGAGGCGCCTCAAAAGTAGACTCCTCACACCGGTCTCCGCCGCTCGTCACACCGTTCTACCGCTCCTTTGTGACGAACCACGAGACACACCGCTTTGTACGCGACTTCTCGTGCCGGACGTGACCGTCCCGCTGCTTTCTGCTCTCCTCGCCGCATTTGCGGACTCTGATTGATTCAGATTCGGATCTGGCAGAATGGTCGCGAGTCTGTTCGTCGAGGCGGCACGCGGCGCGCAGCTGGAGGTGCTGCGACAGGCGACGGTCTGGGAGCGCATCTCCGTCGCGACGACGCTCGCGATAACGCTCGCGAAAGAGCTGGTCGGGATATTCGGTAACGCGCCGTACGGGTTTCACGCCATGGCGATGTATCGGAGCGTGTTCTACGCCAGTAAACGCGGGCTCGAAGGTCCGCGGAGCACTGGCGGAAACGGAGGCGGGGAACTGGACGCGGCGGAAGGGGAGATCGCGCGCGGAGAAGCCGGGGATGCGGAAAGCCCGTCCGCGGCTCGGCGGTCGGCGATTGGGATCCGGAAAATGCGGAGACAGCTGACGTCGACAGGTAGAACCGGCAGGGGGGAGGATTGGGGGAGGATCGGGGGAGGATTGCGGAATGGAAGGCGAGGCGGAATGGGGCCATGGAGCAGGTTGTATAGTCGGAGGGAAAAGGTGAGCGGGAAAGGAGGAGGTTGCAGGGAGGGAAGGGAGACGAGAATGTGACGGCGCAGAGCAGATTGAGAAGCTGCTCGATTGCTATTGGTTAACATTCTCCTTCCCCATTTGCTTGATCGAAGCGGAGGAATCATGCCATACCTTTCCCTTACTACGTCCTTTGGTGCTGCTTGCTTACCCCTGGCTTCGCTTGGCATGGTGTGTCCTGCCCTGATTTGGCATGGCATGGGGCTGACGTGGCATGACGTGGCTTTCCAGTGTGGAACTGGGCGTCGTCGATGGAGGCGATGCTGTGGCAGGGTCTGCCACATGGCGGCGTGCAAGTGGTCTACGACATCCGCTACGGCCCTCGTCTGCGCAACACGTACGTGGCGGGGGAGGGGATGATGTGCATGTGATGGGATGACGAGGCATGGAACGGGATGGCCTGGGATGTGTGAGTGTGCCGATGGGGATGGGGATGGGGATAGGGATGGGGATGGGGATGGGGATGGGGATGAGGAGGGGGATGACTTGGTGGACATGTGATGGCATGGTGTGGCATGGGCAATGCGCAAATGTCGGATTTGGATTCCCAATTCTCGGGTTTCCCAATGTCTTAATCTCTGTTGTATGACACGTCATTCAAGACAGTAACCCCCTTATGACTTGTGTCCCTCCCTTGCCTACCACAGCCTTGACATCTACATGCCACCAGATCTGGCACTTGACAGCAATGCAGCAGAAAGCAGCAACAGCAGCAGCAGCAGCAGCAGCAGCAGCAGCAACGAAGGAAGCAAGGGGCGGCCGGTGTTGTTTTTTGTGCACGGGGGAGTGTGGGCGAGTGGCGAGAAGTGGATGTATTCTCCGCTCGCGATCCGATTCGCTCAGTCAGGGGCGGTGGTGGTAACCATTCAGTACACTCTCTACCCCGAGGTAAGTCACATGTACACCCTCCATTCCCTCCTCCTCCCACCCCCATAGCCCCCTCATCCTCATTATTCAGCTCATCTGTTGCGACTGCTGCTGAGAATAATGGCACACGGGAGCACATGAGCTGCTCCCGTGTCGTCTTCCTCGTCTTCTCTTCTGAGTCTCTCCTCCCGCTCTCGCGTCCTCTCCAACACCCGTCCTCCTCTCTCCCACTTCCAGGCCCATGGCGTCGACCAGGCTCAAGCAACGCCAGCCGTGCGCGCTCTCATGGGCAATGGATCACATTCACGAGTATGGGGGCGACCCCTCGCGCATCTTCCTCACAGGCCACTCCTCAGGCGCCCACGTCTGCTCCATGGTTGTGTGGCGCCGCCTCAGGTCTGCCCTCCGCCGCATGTTCCAGGCACATGCCTCGAATGCAGCATCAGCACCCACGGCTGTAGCAGAGGGCAACGGCAGCAGCGACAGTACCAACAGTAGCAGCAGCAGCAACAGTACCAGTACCAGCAGCAGCAGTGGCAACGCCAGCAGCAGGGAGGGTAAATCGCCACATTACACCCTCAAAGGAGAGAATCTCTGGACTCTAGACGAGCTGGATCTGAGGCAGCCCTACTGTTTCCTGGGCATGAGCGGTGTGTATGACATAGCTCATCACTAGAGGCACGAGCAGAGGCGGGGTGTGTTTGCTCTCTCTGCAATGTCACCTGCTATTGGCGGGCCGGCACGGTTCGTCTCATCCTCTCCTGCTCTGCTGTTTGATGCTCTCGCATCCGCCGCTGCTGATGCTGCCACTGCTGCTGCGGAGGCTGTTGCTGCGGGTGCTGTTGGTGGCGCTGCTGGTAATGCTGCTGTTGGTGATGCTGCTGCTGATCCTAATGCCTCTGCTGCTGCTGCATCATTCTTGGCGTCGTTTGACTGTCCAAAGAGTCCTCTTTTGTCTGCTGCTGCTGCTCCTGCTGCTCCTGCTTTTGCTGCTGCTGCCTCTGTTTCTTCCACTACTGCCCCTTCTGCCGCTCTTGCACCCTCTGTTTCTCCTGTGCCTGCTGCCTCTGCCTCTGCCTCTGCTGCTGCTAGAAACCGAGCACTTGAGCAGCTAGCAGCAGTCAGCGCTGCTGCTGCTGCCACCCTAAGGCCCTCCCTCTCTGCCGCTCTCAAATCCGCGTCACCCCGTTCATTTGCCACGTCAGCTGGTCCCAACGCGTCAGAGGGTCCAGACGCCACGTCATCAGTTGCTCCCCGTCCAGTGAAACGATCATCCAACTTTGATAAAGCTAACTTTAACCGCCAACCAGCTGCTGCCAAGTCATCATCAGTGTCGTCCCTATCAGTAGGAGCAGACCCAGAAGCACCAGGAGTAGCAGGAGCAGCAACGGGCATAAGGGGTGACCATGCAGGTGCAATTGATGCTGGTATGCCTGTGACCAGTACGGGAAGAGGAAGCGCAATCTCAGGAGGGGGAAGTGCAACCTCAGTGGCAGATGCAGTCAACAGAGCAACATCAAAAGAAGCAGCGAAGCAGGCCCTTCGATCCCACCTCCTCAAGTCATCAGCTTTCACCCAACCTGCTGATGCCACAGCGACTGACGCCATGATACCTCCAATGCCATCCCTGCCTGCTTCTTCGCCTCTCCAACCAGCCCAAGAGTTCACCGTCCCTCCTCCCTTCTCCGTCTCCTCCTCCTCTTACACAGCTGCAGCAGCGGCAGCAGCAGCAGCAGCAGCAGCAGCAGCAGAGGCAGCTCCCACAGCTGCACCTTCAAGAAATACCTCATCTCCCCTTTCCGATCAAGAATCATCCTCTTCTCAAGAGGCAGACCCCCTCTCCTCTGACTGCTTCTCCTCCAGGTTACTCGCCCCCTCGCCGCCCTCTGCTCTCGACATTCTCAGGCAGGAGCTGGGACGGGGTGTTGCTGAAGCTGTTGTGGCTGCTCTTGCCTCGGGCCAACTCAGCCTGCTCTCCTCACCCCCATCATCTTCCTCTCTATCTCCTTCCTCCTCCTCTTTCCCCTCCTCGTCTTCATCCTCCCGTCCCTCCTCCACCACCTCCTCCTCCTCCCCTGCTTCCTCTTCTCCCTCCCTCCCTTCCTCCACCCCTCTCCTCCCCATCATTCTCCTACAGTGGAGCACAGCAGACTATGTCGTTCCTCCCGAAACATCCCTCTCCCTCATCCGCTCACTTCAACACCTCAACTCCTTTCTTCTCCCCTTGCCTCCTCCTAGCCTGCTCAAGCTTGGGGGAGAGGGGGGAGGATTGGCAGTTGAAGGAATGGGGGTAACGGGGGAGGGATCAGGAGGAGTAGGAGGGGGAGTGGGGATTCGGGCGAAGGCTTTGGTTTATGACGACGCTGGTCATCCGGATTTTGCGTGCTGGGCTGTGAGGGGTGAGAGGAGAGGGAGAAGGGATGGGGAGGTGAATGGGGGAGAGGGTAGCGTTAAGGGTGGATCAAAGGGCGGGGTGAGTGAAGGAGGGAAGGAAGAGGAAGGGGAATGGAAGGGAGGGATGTTAATGAGGAGCAAGAGCATGAGGAAACTGAGTCAACTGAGTCAAGAAGCAGAGGGGCGAGAGGGTGATTCAGGGACCAAGGATGGGGAGGAAGGGGAGGAAGTGGCAGGGCAGGTGTTATCCAGTGGAGGTGCTTATGATGAGATGGCTTGTGTGCGAGATAGCCTTGATTTTGTCACTGGGCGAGTGTCGCTGGAAGATATGGTGTGGTAGTAGTGTGGGGAGGAAAGCCTTGTGATACCTCGAGTTAAAGCACTAAGGGTTGATTTCTTCACACAATTTATCGATCTGTTTTGTATGCAGTAGAAGCAGTCGGTTTGAACTTGCTTGAATCAGTGTTTCAGCAGCGCGACGTATTTGGATTTTAGCTCCGCGTGCTCCTCGGCCAAATCCCCCATCTCCCACTTCGCCCGCTCATTCTGTTTCCGCAGTTCCGCCAGCTCCGCGTGCGCTTGAGCCATCTCCGCGCGCAGCCGCTCTAGCTCCCTCTCCCTCGTCAGCGTAGCGTGTTTCACGCGTCGGTTCTGGAACCAAACCGCGACCTGACGTGGCCTCAACTCGAGCTGACTCGCCAGCTCGAGCCGCGTCTCCAGATTTATTTCGCGCTCAATCTCATTGAAATGCGACTCGAGCACTTCGATCTGAGCGGGCGATAGGCGCAGCTTGGACTTCCGCTTGGACTCGGGGGGCTTTTCAGAAGAAGCGGGGGACCTTTGCGCGGAGGCGGCGGACGGAGAGGTTGAGCGAGGGGAGAAATGCGCGGCTGCGGTTTCGCAGCGGGGGTTGCTGCTGGGAGCCCTATCAGCCTGCCGATACGATGTCCCGCGAGGGTTGCGAGATTCGCGAGAGTCACGAGAGTCGCGACAGTTGCGAGAGTCACGAGAGTCGCGACAGTTGCGAGAGTCACGAGAGTCGCTTGAGTCGCGAGAGACGCTTGAGTCGCGAGAGTCGCGAGAGTCACGAGAGTCGCAAGAGCCGCGTGAATTACCCTGCTCTGGCGATGACGAAGGCTCCAACTGTGGGACGCGTGTCACATGCGACAGCTCGCATGCGACTTTGTTAAGATGGTCGTCTCCGTCGCCGTCGCCGTCGCAGTCGTCGCCATCGTCGTCTTGGTCAACGTCGTTGTCGTTCACTTGATTGTCGTCACCGTTGTCGTTACTCGACAAATCAAAGCAATCTGGAAGCTCACCGCCGCCGCCGCCGCCGACGCCGTCGTCTACAGGTCCCGTCGCTCGTGGAAACGCCGCTTGAGGGGGGAGGAAATTATGGCGAGGCCGTTTTTGGTGTGACACGTGGAGCACAGGGTGTATTAGTAGCGACAGTCGCAACGGCGACGGCGAAGAACTCCCTGCGACCACTGACGTTTCGCAGTCCAACTGCTGCGCTGTAGTAGAGTCTAGCCGCCTACGCCTCGATCTAGCCGCCTAGCCTCACAGCTCCAGCTGTGAGGCTGAGATCTACGCAGGGGCCATGGCTGCACAGGAGTTACGCTGGCTCACCTACTTGCTGACTGACCTGGGAGAGCCGCCTCGTTCTCCTCCAGTTCTGTACGTAGACAACAAGGCTATGCTGGCCTTGTGTCGGGAGCACAGACTGGAGCACAGAACGAAGCACATTGCTCTTCGCTACTTCCTTGCTCGTGAGCTGCAGCAGCGTGGTCAGCTGCGCCTTGCTTACGTGGCCTCTCAGGCCAACACTGCTGATATCTTTACCAAGGCACTTCAGCCTTGTGATCATCAGCGCTTCTGTACTATGCTAGGTCTTGTGCCTACTTGGCCTCACTTGCTTACCTCTTGACTTTCCTTGTACTGTGATCTATATATACCTGCACTTGCTTGTTTACCTTTATATATGAACTTGCATGTGAACTGGCCTTGTGGCCTTTGAACCGGTGCTCTGACTGTGTGGTGACGTTGTGATCCACCCTGAGCTTGCTTTGCTTTGTTTTGCTTGACTGGTCTTGTGACCCCTAGTTCTCCCCCACTTTGCCTATGGGGGTGTGTCAGATGTATATGCCTTAGCCTATGTAGGCTGTAGTGGGGTAGACACTAAGGAGTACAGGTTTTATATTTGTATCTCACACTTTCCTAGTTCATTCATTCCTGTTTCTTCACACTTGCGCCTGGTGACCACCACAGGTTTTGTCTGCAGTTAGGCCTTGTTGACGCAGGCCCGCGATTGTTGTGGTTTTGCTTTTTATTTGTTACTCTGTTTGTCCTTGCATATACACGTATGTATATATATATACATATAAAGAAGTACTCTTGAACTGGCCTTGTGGCCGCTTACTTGTGCTCAGACTGTGTGGAGACATTGTGATCCACCCTGTGCTTTGTCTTCTTGACTGGTCTTGTGACCATTTGTTTGCACTGCTTGTTTTGATGCCCCTCACTTAGCCTATGGGGGTGTGTCAAACTCTGTAATATAGTTTAGATAGGCTGTAGTAAGTTTCACCCTAGGGGGTACACAAACTCTCTCAATAGTCTTCATGTACCCCTCCCCCTTTACCCTAATCCATCATTCTCCTTAGGTTCCTAAAGTCCTTAGTTTTTTAGAATCCATCCCTCTCCGCCTCCAAGCACGCTCCCATGTCCAATTCAGCAGTCAGTGCTCCGATACAAAGGCACTTGTGTGGTGACCTTTGAGTCGAATCAGACGGCGCCTGCTCTGAACTTTGCGGTTGTCAGCATTGTAACGAGTACCTGTACCACAATCAGCCTCCTCCTGCCTCCAAGCACATTCGCTGCCCCATCCATCCCTGCCTCTAAGCAGGCTCACTTCAATCCTTCACCCAAGTCAGCAGTCAGTGCAGCGCTTGCTGTCATACAAACGCGCTGGTACCATGAGTTTACTCACAATGCTCCTGCTCCAAACCTTGTTGTTAAAAGTGTTGCAAGCAGTTCCTGTGCCACAATCGGTCTCCTCACTGTTCCGACCATCCCTGCTCCTCCAAGAACGCTCGCCTCATCCAGGTCAACAATCAATGTTACCGTATGTGGTGACCTCTAAAATCAAAATCAGCACGCGCTTGTGCCAAACCCTGCTGCCATGAACACAGCAAGCAGGTGTCTGTTACAACATAACCTCCTTGAGCGATGCTGCTCTTAGTCTCCTCATGGCTTCCGTCTGCCATCGCTGGCGCCGTCTCTCCCAGCGTTACGTCTCGACGTTTTTCATCAGGAAAGTTCTTGCCGTTTCTCGCCAAGACCTCGCCAATGGCGTATCCTGCTTCCCGAACCTGACCCACCTTCATTTGTGTGACGGAAGTGTGGAAACATTAGACGATGCCTTCCTCTCGCACCTCGTCTCGGAATGCCCTAAGCTGACGGTTCTTCACGTGGGAAGCAGGATCACTAAAGATACAGTTCTTCCGCCCATTCTTACGCTTACCTCGCCTATCCCTAACCTAATTCTGCCCGTCCATAATAGCTTTGGGATATGAATGCTTACACTTTTTCAGTTCCAATGGTCCTAGTACTCAGTGACGGAAGTCTGGAAATGATAAGAGTAAATGTAAAATTTTTAAAGTGTGTAACACTTTTCAAAAATTGTGTGTTGTGAAATTGTAGCGATTGCCAACGCAGCAAAGGCAGCGTCGCATCGCTACTCGCCCTCTTTTGGCTACAAAAGAGGGGGTTGAGGCCATTCGGCCTCACCCACGTTCTTCTTTTCAATCTCGAAGTTTGAGTTTCCCACCCTCCCACCCATGTAGTAATTGTCTCTAAGGGTGTGTTCCTACGCCTCATATCAGGAAACCTCATATCGAGCTTGCCTGGTAAAACTAGCGGATGATTTTGTGTTTAGGGGAATTTTCAGTATGAGCCTGATATGAGGTTCGCTTGATACGAGGCATAAGTGTGAGAATAACGAGAGGAATGAATGAACTAGGAAGGAGATGGGTACAAGTAGAAAACACAAAAGTGTTGTACCCTCTAAGGACCACCCCACTACAGCCTAAACAGACTATAGCATGTATAAGTTTGACACACCCCCATAGGCAAAGTGGGGGAGAACAAGAGGTCACAAGACCAGTCAAGAAAGACAAAGCAAGCTCAGGGTGGATCACAAAGTCACCACGCAGTCTGAGCACACGCAAATGGCCACAAGGCCAGTTCACATGCAGAGTTATATAAAGGAGAACAAACAAAACAGTGAATACAACCTAGCAAGTGTAAGCATGCAGGTATATGCATAAAGAGTACAGTACAGGCAGAGTCAAGAAGAAAGCAAGTGAGGCACAGTAGGTACAAGGCCTAACACAGTACAGAAACGCTGATGATCACAAGGCTGAAGTGCCTTGGTGAAAACATCAGCAGTGTTGGCCTGAGAGGCCACGTAAGCAAGACGAAGCTGGCCACGCTGCTGCAGCTCTCGAGCAAGGAAGTAGCGCAGAGCAATGTGCTTCGTTCTGTGCTCCAGTCTGTGCTCCTGACACAAGGCCAGCATGGCCTTGTTGTCGACGTACAGAACTGGAGGAGAACGAGGCGCCTCTCCCAAGTCGGTCAACAGGTAGGTGAGCCAGCATAGCTCCTGTGCAGCCATGGCCCCAGCGTAGATCTCAGCCTCACAACTGGAGCTGAGAACAGAAGAAGAGCGGGTAGACCGCCAAGAGACAGAACCGGAGCCAAGACTGAAGGTGTAACCCTGTGACGACCGCTGCGTAGCCAAGTCGTCAACCCAGGAGGCGTCAGCGTGACCAGTGAGGACAACTCGAGCCCGTCCTCCAAGCACGAGCCCCATGCCCGATGTACTGCACAAGTATCGCAACACCCTCTTCGCAGCATCCCAGTGCACCTTTCGGTGCCTGCCGGGAGCCACGTAGCGAGCCAGAAGGCTGAGAGGGTATGCGAGGTCAGGTCGTGTGCAAGTCATCAGGTACATGAGGCAGCCCACAAGCTCTGGATACGGGCCACTCGGCTCTACGGACTCGTCCGAAGGTGGAGCTAAGAGCGAGTGACCGGTAGGCAGAGGAGTGGACTGTGGCGAGGAGTACGTGAAGCCGAAGCGCTGAAGGACCTGCTGCACCATGTGTGACTGAGTCAAGGTAATGGTGTGCTGTGCTCTGTCCCGGGTGATCCGCAAGGCAAGATAGCTTGTGAGCTCACCCAGGTCTGTGCACGTGTGTCTCTTCTGCAGCTCGGACTTCACGTGGGCGAGTGTTTCAGTGTCAGCAGTAGCAAAGACGAGGTCGTCTACGTACACGAGAACGT